ATAACTGAATATATAATGCTTTATACAATTTATTATTTGAATAGATTAAATATGCAAAGCTAAATTTCACTAAAAAAAAACAAAACTAATTAGTTTTTCTTTGAAAAGCATTAAGTTAAATCAAAATAGCACGTTAAGTTTAATAAAAATCGTTGCATAAAAGTGCTTAAAATCTCCTGTTTTTAAATTTTAAACTTGTGTTTTCAAAATAAATGTCTTGTTTCTGATTAGTGCTCAGTTTCTCCTCATTCACCCTTAGGTGCCTCTGAACACAGTTTGATCTCTTTAAAACTATTATCTCATTCTTCTTTTCATCAGAATCCCCCTATCATCATGCATCTTACAACTACCTTGAAGCTGACTGGGATTCTTTCTGTGAATTTCTTTTTGATGGCCCTTGGGTAGAAATCTTCCGTCTTCCTGTTGACAAATGTGCTTCTTACATAACTTCATGGATTCAGGCTGGCATGGAATCCTTTATTTCCTCTTGACAATTCCATGTCGTCTCACTCTTCTCCATGGTTTTTCTCACATTGTGCTGCTGCAATTGCCAATCGAAACTATTACTTCTATATCTATCAGCAAAACTTTTCATCCATATCATCTTTTGATATCCACTAGTTGCGTTCTACCTGATTTAACCTTCAAACAGGTTGATCCATTGCTTGACATTTGTATCACTCCAGCTTCTGTATCTAACTATAACAGGTATGTTGTTCGGTCACAGCTTGTGATCTTCTTGTTCTACGGCTGATTTGCTAACAGTAATAACTGATAGGTTTTATCATGCATTAGATAAAGGTGAAGGTTAATTGCTCTTGACATTTCTAAAGCGTTTGATAAATTTTGGCATGCTGGTCTGCTCTGTGAGCTTTTTTCTTATGGTGTATCTTTAAGATTATTGAATCCTTCCTTTCCAATTGTAGTATAAAAGTTATTCTTGATGGACAGTAACCTCAGGGATTCCTCAAGGTTCAATCCACGGCCCTATACTCTTTTTAATTTACATTAAAGATCTTCCAGATATTCTCACATCAAAGGTGGCATTGTTCTCTGATGATACTACCTTTTATTCTTGTCATGATAAGAAGCCAATACTCTCTGTTTGCTTGGAGGGGGCATTTGAGTTTGAAAAGGATCTCACTTCTGCTACAGCATGGGGCTCACAGTGGCTGGTGAACTCATATAAAACTCAATTTTTTCCAAGCAATCGTTATCGCAGTGATTTAGACCGTCCTATATTTATGAACAGTAATATAATCAATGAGTCATCTACACTTTATCTTCTAGAATTAACTCTTACTTCCAATCTTTCTTGGAAACCATATATCAAATCCATTGCAAAATTAGCATCTGCTTTTGTTGCATCTCTTTATCGAGCTCAACGCTTACTCCGGATTCTATTATCTATCTTTATAAATCTCAAATCCGCCCTTGTATGGAATATTGTTTCCATATCTGAGGCGGATCTTCTAATGATGCCCTTTCTTTTTTAGACAAGGTGCAAAAACGCATTGTAAACATAGTTGGACCTGCTCTTTCAGCCAACCTCCAACCATTATCACTTTGTCGTAATGTTATAATGGGCACTGCTCTAAAGAGCTAGTATCTCTTGTGCCATCTACTGAAATTCATTCTCATGTGACTCATTCAATTAAGTCTCATCCTTTTTCTGTGACTGTTCCTAAGTGCTCCAAAAACTCCTAATCCTCTAGTTTTTTTCCTCAAACATCAATTCTTTTGAATTCGCTTCCTTCATCTTGCTTTCCAGATTCATATAATTTGCAATCTTTTAAGTCGTCTGTTAATCATTATCTTGTTCTACAATCTTCATCTTTTCTCTTCCAGTAACTTCCAACTCTCTAATTAGTTGTTGCTTGCAACCTTGTTGGAAGCAAAGATGTTTAAAAAAAGTTATTGATTCCTTTATATTTCTTTAAAAGAATCATATATTTAATGCAAAAAATATTTAATTTAATAATGTTTTTATTATTATATTAAATTTTTTGTCATTTTTTTTAGTTAGACCTTCAAGTTCTGCCCGCTTCATTATTTATGATTATTTAAGTTGACTACTGTTGAAATATGGTTTTAATTTAGTAAATTTTGGTGTACTGAAATTTACTTTATTGATCATTAGCGAACAGTTTTGGTAATAAAATTGAATTCCACACCGTCAAGGTAAGATTAACTTTTTTTCTTGTTAATAATAATTATAAAAAACTGTTTAAGACCATTAAACAGTTTTTTATAATTAAAAGCTATTGTTTGTGTTAGTATTTGTCACAGTATCCAATAGTTTTTGTTATATTTATAGCAAAATTAAGGTCGTCCTCATAGTTTTTTGTAGACTTTTAAATACATCTTTCATCAACACTACTTTCAGTAAGAATGGAATATTTTCCTTAAAGAAGATTTTAAATTATTACCAAGATACTTTTTACTTTATGAATAAACCTATTTAATGCCTCGCATGATAAGTTTATCAAGTTAATTATGTTTACTCTTTTATTGCTGATTACTTATTTTTAAATATCGTTTCCATAGTTTGCCAATAAGAGTTGGGTAAAGTAAAATTGACACTTTATTGATAAAAGTTTAGCTTGACAAAAAAAAAAGCAATTAAACAATTTAATTACTACTTATTTATAATTGAATTAAAAAAAAATTTTCAAATATAATAAGATTTTTTTTTTTAACATCTTCGCTTCCATTAAGGCTTTAAGCAACCGCAGTTAGAGTTAAAAGTTACTGGAAGAGAGATGAAGTTTATAAAGCAAGATAACGATTGAAAGACGACTTAAAATATTGCAAATTATATGAATCAGGAAAGCAAGATGAAGTAAGCGAACTCCGAAGAATTAATGCTCAAGGAAAAAAACTAGACAAATTTTTTTTTTTTTTTTTTAGAGTTTTTAGAGCACTTTTTTTTTTATTTTTATTTATTTTAATTCACCTCCTCAAGGCCGAGGAGGCTACTTATTTGTGGCTATAACCCTCTCTCAACTCTATAACTCCGAAACACGAACCTTGATGAACAAGGCCGCTGCGCGGAGAAACAAGTTGAGCGCGGTACTACCAGGGACGTGGTGAGGATCGAACTCCGAACCACTCGTTTATGAAGCGAGAGCTCTACCACTACACCACTACCGCATTAAACTTAACTTAAGAACAGTTACAGAAAAAGGATGAGACTCAATTGAATGACTAATCACACGCGAATGAACTTTAGTAGATAGCACAAGAGGCGCTAGCTTTTTAGAGTAGCGCTTATTATAGTATTTGTGGAAAAGAGAAAGAGAAGCAACATTACGACAAAGTGATAATGGTCGGAGGTTGGCTGCAAGAACAGGTCCAAATATATTTACAATGAGTTTTTGCACCTTGTCTAAAATAGAAAGGGCATTATTGGAAGATCCGCCTCAGATGCGGCAACAATATTCTATACAAGGACGGTAGGGCTGTTCAGTATGCTAATTTGTTTTCAGAACATAGCTAATTGAAGTTTTTCCCATTCAACTATCATAATGTGGTTCAAAAATATTTTTTACTAAACTTTATTATTTGCCCTGAAGGTCGCTCAAAGCCCCTAAACATTTGACAGGTCCCTAATATTATTAAAAAAAAAAATATTTAAAAATATGTCAACTTGGTACTCAAAAGAAGCAAAATTTTATAAAAATTTTAAAAATTAGATTCATTTTTTATAAAAAACAACTTAAAAAAACTTATTATTAAAAATGTTGTAAATAGTACCTTTTTTTCATTTTTCGTTTAAAAACCAAAGTTTTTATTCAAAAAAACCTAATATTGTTTTTTTTATAAAAAATTCTTTTGAGTACCAAGTTGACATATTTTTAAATAATTTTTTTTTCAATATTAGGGACCTGTCAAATGTTTAGGGGCTTTGAGCGACCTTCAGGGCAAATAATAAAATTTAGTAAAAAATATTTTTGAACCACAATATGATAGTTGAATGGGAAAAACTTCAATTAGCTATGTTCTGAAAACAAATTAGCATACTGAACAGCCCTAAAGGACGGATTTGAGATTTATAGAGATAAAGAATAGAATCTGGAGAAAGAAAGTGTTGAGCATGATAAAAATTAGCACCTTAGCATGTGCAAATTTTGCAATTATTGTTCAAAATGACAACAAAATAGCAGCGAATGCATAATAAAAGTTTTAACTCCTTTAGTGAAAAATCCTAATTTGCCTCTAAATAAACGATTCCTGATTATATACCTATAAATTAGATTATATTTACATTACATTTACTATTATTACATAATTTCAATTACTTATTTATATATAACTTTAATAAATTGTTGATACTTGTATTCCAAGGTGACGAATTTTAGAAATGGTTGGATGTTCAAAAAGGACTATGGTTAGGATTATTAAACAGTAGTAACAACTTGAAAAACATTTTAAAAGAAATTTGGTCAAAATTATGGCAAAAATGCATAACTTTCAGACAAAAGATTTAAATTATAAAGAAATAACATCAAGTCAAGTATTTAAAGATATATAAAGTTGCGATGCTGAAAATAAATGATTATCACAAAAAATTTGTACAGGAAAGTTATACAAATAATGTAAAAAGAAACCAAGTATAATTATCGATGATGAAACTTAAGTGAACTTAAATTTTAAAATAATCCTAGGACATTTATATATAGGGGACTGCGAACACTAATTTTAAAACGATAAATATGAAGAAATTCCTAAATAATATTATGATTTGGTCATATGTTAACGTCAAGTAAGTTTTAAGTTTTTTTTAATTAATAGTGAAATTTATCTAAAGTGTGTAGAGTACTTAGAAAAAGTGTTATTGCTACTTTAGTAGATGAACCCACAATCAGAGTTGCCACTTTAATTTTTAAAGTTTTTTCCTGAGTAAAGAACGTTTTCCCCTGAGTTAAACTTTTAAACTACCTGACTTTTCTATATTCTTTCCCGTTCCTGGTGTTAAGAGAAAGCAAAATTATTCTTACCTTGACGGTCTTGAATTCAACTTCATCACCAAAACTGTTGGCTAATGATCAATAAAGTAAACCTCAGTTCATGAAAATTTACTAAATCAAAACCATATTTCAAAAGTAGTCGAACTAATCATAAATAATGAAGTAGGGCAGAACTTAAAGGTTGAACTAAAAAAAATGATAAAAAATTTAATATAATAAAAAAATATTTAAAACTTGCATTAAATATATTACTCTTTTAATGAAAATTTAAAAAATTGATAATAAAAAATTGAATTATACATGGTAAACTACCCAGTAGTCGACAACCACTTAAAGTCTTTTTTTTTTCGAGACGTTTTGTCACTAAAAAATAGACTGAGTAGATACTAAAGTAAAGTGTCAAAATAGGGTCTGAAATGATCACCTATCTTTCCTTTACATATGAAGGAAATTGGGTTATCATAAACATAATAAATGCATATGATTTGGAGCAAAAAAGTTCCAAAAATACCCTTAAACTCTTAGAAATCATAACTGTTTCCAGATTACCATAAGAAATGCATGACAAATATAATGTATTTGAAATTTTTTTTTTATGCTGACACTAAAATAGATAAACAAAAAAAATTATTATTATTATTATTATTATTACTTTATAGTATAATAAAGGTTCCTAGCCACATATTTTATGTAACTTTGGCCAGAGGTTTGTTTGAAACAAACACTTTTGAACTCTCACTGCATTCTAGTCATTAACAGAATTTTTTTTGTTTGTTTGCTATGATTTTTAGAGATTTACTACAAAAAATGGTCAAATGATTTAGAAGAATATAAACGAATATAATAATAATAGAAACACTCATTTGAGAACTCCTTGGTTTGGATTCAACTCGGGGGGATTAACAGTGTTTGAGTTTGAAACATTGTTAATAAATCTCTAAAATCAATCTTATCTTTATCTTAATGTTTCGGCATTGTTTCCTACTCTGTTTTGACATTAAAATAAATTAAATTAAAAATAAAACAAAGTTAAGATGTCTCCTAAATTAAGCAGCTGCTCCAGAATGGCATCACAGTCCCAAGGATGATATTGACAATGCAAGTGGAGACTTAAAAGGTAAATTAGACATTTTTAATGTCATATTAGTTAATTAATTCTATAATCAGTTTTTACTGTAGTCAAAGCCTAGTTGTTGAAGCAACAGTGTGGGGACATGCAATTAACAGTGGCAAAAGGAGAAGTTTGCAATTTGGAGAAAGCTACAGATTGAGAAAAAAACAACAGTGTGCTTACATTTAAAAGAAATATTCTGTTGTCAAGTTGAACTCGCCCTCCCTGGCAAGTTCTGGTTGACAACAGCAAGACTTTTCACTCAAAAATCATTGGTGAATTATGCGCAGAATAGAAATATCCATCCTCTTTTTTTTTGTGCTTACAGGCCATCTGGAAATGGAATTGTTGAACGTCACCATCACACAATCAAACGTATGGCAGCCAGAAGTGGCAAAAATCCATTAAAAATGATATATTGGTATAACGTGCTTCCCAGAAAAAAAGGTGACAAAGCATCGCTCCCCTACAAAGCTATATTTTCCTATGAGTGGAAACCACACACAATTTCTTACAAAACTAATGAGGAAGTTCTCCACAACTATACACAAGGACAAAAAAATTTTTTAAACCCACCTGATTCAAAATGTACGAAAAAAATGGAACAGAGAAAGAGTCTCAGATGAAGGACAAGGAGTTTCGGTAGAAATCAATGGATTGCCAAGACACATGGAAATTAAATTGCATTCAACTAGATGCTTATTCAAAAACTTGGGCTAAATTTAGGTTTATTACTTTCTTTCTTTTCAGCAAACATTGGTGCTGATGGGTCTCTTCCTCCACCTTTAATATCTATGCTAACAAAATAATTCCGATGAACGTGTTCAAGGCATATCCAGAAATGCTTGCTGCTATTTGAAAAAGCAAGTCTGGCTATATAAACAATGAGCTTTTACATAAATATAAATATCAAAAACTCATTTAGAAAACTTGGCATCTATCCCTTCAACACAGAAGCCCCAGATTACAGCAAACTACTAAAAGAGGTTCAGTATTCAAGCGAGGCGTTTTTTTTTGAAGGTGAAAGATGGAAAGGTGGAACGAAGCAAGCAAGTAGATCCCATTCAGAAAGTAAATGCTAGGACTCAAACCTTATCTGATAAATATTGCACTAATCTTATAGAATCACTGGGAAAAAGCGCAACTATAAAGTTGTAAGTTATTTTTGTTCTTTATACTTTCAAACTATTCAAGCTTCAATTAAAAAAATCAATAGCCATGCAAACATTCAATCCATTTAAATTTGTACATATCTTTTACAGATGTTCATTTTGGCGCGATGACTTGGTCATTGAGTGTTCTCATTTAGAATCATTGCGTTTTATCACTAGAGAAAAATGATTAAACATTTTGCAAAGAAGAAATGCAGATAAATCATCAACAAGCCCTGTAGATGAAAGAAGCTATGTAAAAGATAATATTTATATTTCCTTTAAACTTTTATTGAAATAACATAGCCTACATTAAGTTGCATGTATTATGTAAATGTTTACCCTGACATTCTAACTTAAAATTGGTTTCTTGATTTTTAATTTCTTTTATTTAGGCGTAACAGAGGAATCATTTTTACCTCCTCATGCCTTTACTCTATCAACATTGCTTTCTAAACTAACAGCTATAAGCAAAGTCTTACTACATCATAGATAGTTTCCATCGCCAAAGAAGACTGTTCCTAAAGTTAGGATAGTAGCTCAAGAACTTCATACAACATCTGTCTTAAAAACATCTCAAGTAGTTTCTTTGTTAGGGGATATCCAACAAAAAAAAAAGAAAGACACTATTGCTGCCAAAGAAGGTCACAAACAAGTACGATTGACAAATGCAGAAAAGAAAAAAAAAACATAAACGGCTGTTGTTAAAGGAAAATTAAACTGTGATACTAAGAAAAGCACAAAATCAAAGCAGAAAAATAATGTATACTAATTTAGTTCAAATTGTAATCATTTATCCTACCCTGTTAAATATAAAGTACAGACTTTTAAATCTTTTCCTTATAGTATTTTTTATATTTTACATTGTAAACGATAAAAAGAATACTTTTTCATTTTAATACGTATTATTTAAACACCTGTGTTTGAAAAAGTACTTACATTTTTAAAAATCTAATAAGTGTCGAATACTGAAAAAAAAAACTGTTAAACTTAGGATGGTGTTCAATGTTCGACATTTTGAGATTTCAGACGCATTAACCCCCTTTTTTTTCTCATGTCATTCACTCAAAGTGTATTGTAAAGAGCAACCATCCCCATATATGATAGAACATTGATATGAAATAACAACTGAAAAATTATTATTTATATAAAACTCTGCAAAAAAAAAAAAAAAAAAAAGAGAGTCAAACACTGGTCGGTTTGCCCTTTATACATATATATTAATTCTAGATTTCCAAATACAAAATCAAATACATGCAATAACGACGATGGGATCATTAATGAAGTATGCACACTCAAATAAAGGAGCACAGAGGTTTATTTAAAATTTAATTTTATTTTTGTATGCTTAAATGGCATGCAGATTCAAACTTTAAAAAGGTTAAAATTTTTGTCTATTTAAAAGTTGAACAATTTAAAAGAAAAAAAACATTTTAAAACCCAACAGTTTTTAAGTATACTCAGAAAAAAGTAATGAAAAAAAAAATTTGGAAGAAAAAATACCAACAGTTTTTAAGTATACTCAGAAAATAGCGATTAAAAAAATATATATATATATATATGGATCTAAAATATGGAAAAATATAATTTAATAATTTTTTCTGGCTAATTATAATAGTATTTTAGGAAAAAAATTGGATGATTTTCATAAAAGTGATATAAAAACTGTAAATTTTTGCACATGATTTTACTGTATTTTTTAAACATTTCAGTCATTATCTCAGAAACTGTTAATTAAACCGCAGGAAGAAAGAGCCTGCAATGGTAGCATATGAGATAGAGGGCAGGTGGTTAATTATAAAAGTAAGACACTAAACAAAAAATCATAAAACCTTGGGTAGGTAGGTTAAAAGCGTAGGTACTTTTAGAAAGGTGAAGGGTACTCAAAATAAAAGCGTACATACTTTATGGACAACCTCTTTCCTAATACAAATACAAATATTTGAAGAGCTAAGTGCTAAAAGTACTTAAATCACAAAATAAATGGTTTAAGAAAATCTATTTTGATCAGTCATTTTAAATTCTTATTTTGAAGTGTTTCTGATCAAAGTATATTTCCTCAAAACATTTATTTTGTAACTTGAGTACTTTTAGCACTAAGCTCTTTATTTGTACTTTAGTATAAAAAAAAATACAAAGATTTTTTAGAGACAAGACTAATATAACCGTAAACTTGATAGAAAAATAAAAACAAGTCTTCTAACAAATTTCCCTTATAAACAAATTGTTAACTAATTTAGAGTTACAAACAGAAAAAAAAAAGCATAAACCTCTTGATTTTTCCTAAAAAAAAAAAGCACAAGATAATATAGTTTAGGAATAGCAAATACATTTTAATTACTAATACTCAAGAAACTTTTCTGAACTCAGCACATCTCTATATGTATAAATATATTGATAAATAGACACTCCTTAAAGAGATATTGTTGTAGTCATTACAACAGGATGAATACAACAACAGGATGACTACAACAATAGGCCACCACCTGTTTATTAAGACCCGCCCCCGTCCTAATATCTCTACATTTATTAAATCTGGAGATATATCCCACCCATCCATCCCACTTTGTATAAAGCACCAAAAAGTAACTTGACGATAATGAAACTGAAACATTTTTGACCTAATCAAATTGCTCCTTTAGTTGTTGTTGACTTGCTTTTTTTGTTTTCTTAGTAGTTTAAAAAAATCATGCTTAAATTTTAAAAACCTATTAAAATTTTAACAGAGGTGAGTTGAATTATACAAATGCAAATGTCTAGGCTATTTTTTTTTTCAAAAGTTGTATTAAATAATTTAAAATTATTTAATACAACTTTTGAAAAAAAAAATATAAAATCACAACAAATTGTATTTTGATTTTTTCTAAAACAGAAATAAATATATTTAAAAAAAATATTTTAAAGAAATAAATGTTATAATTTTCATATTAAATTTTTCAAGAAAGACCAGACAATAATTTTTTTTTCTTTTTTTATCTTATAAAATTTTTTATTACTTATTTGATGAAAATAAATATGAAATTTGTGATAAAAAATGGAAAGCGCCGATAACTGAGTCATGCCAATAACTATGAATCTATCATATCTGTCATTTCCATGTTGGCATTAAGGAAATTCCGGAGAATGGATAATCTCTATGCTTTAAATACACCTTGTGACTTCTCTTCAATATTTCTGGATAAAATAATTCTACATAAAGGTATTGGAGTTTAAAAAAAAACAAAAAAAAAACAACAATTTTTTAAAGTTATTTTTGGTATTTGTTAAACATCATCAGGGTTTATCTAGGTTCTAAATGAAAGATTTTCCTGACTCAACTCAAATATATAAGTAACTTCCCTGACTTTCTTTTTCTAGAAAAACAATCTTTACCTCCTGATTTTTTCCAAAAAACTACCCTTTACCGCCTGACTCATTATTGAAATAATTATAAATAGTCTCCAGAAAAAACTCACATTGACTTGCAGTGACACTAGCATCTAAAAAAAAATTATTCACATTGGCATGCAATGACACTGGCATATAAAATAAAACCGCATATATGATTGATCGTGTATGTTTTTTAATTAAAGGCTTATATTTATTTACACTTCACAACAACTAATTAAAAAAGTCTTTTTTATGACAAAATTTTTTCAAAGTTTTACATTTCTTTAACTTTATTTTGAAAATCAATTAATTTATAAAGAAAAGGAATAGCTACAATAAAGTAATATCTTTTAAAAAAAGGGAGATTAGTTTCACGTTATTATTTTTTTTTCTTTCTGTTTCTCTAACAAAATTTGAACTGCTTTTTCTATACTTTTAATTTCAAGACATTTATCTTCACTCTTCCTTTTCATATGGTTTCCTTTGATAACTCCAAATCTTTTTTTTCTTCTGTCTCTTATATGATAAAAATAAACTAAATATCTAAATTGTTGTAAAAATCTAGTAAATTTTTTTTTTCCTTTTAATCATCAACGATTTTGGTTAAAAATTTTTAACTGATGGTTGCTTTGATTTTTCTTAGCATTCTTTCTCTTTTGATCAAGGTCTAACTAATATTTTAGGCACACGCCTTTCACAAACCTTATAAACTTGTTTGTTAGTTTAATTGTTAAAGGTATCAGGTTGTTCTTTTACACATGGTCTACTCGCCATCTTTCTTTATATTATTGGTTATATATTGGTTACAATCTAAATAACATAAACTCTTCTTTACCATTGTTTTACTATGACTTGTAACTAAAACCAATATAAGAGCAAAATAGATTTTAACTTTTTGGTATATGTATAGTGGGTTTATAAAAAAAAGAAATTATCAAGTCTAGCGCTCTCGCAACTTGAAGACTCTACTATTTCGAAATTTCAACTGAACTGAATATTATGGCAAAACTTTCTCTGCTAAAGTTGCATTAATAATCTTCAATGAGTCAAGAGTTGTTTCATCTTGCTTCGTAATTTGACCAGTTGCATACAGAATTTGGATCTATCGATTGGATTAGTCATATACAGGAACTTGAATCAAACACATTTGCAATTCATACCATGCAATGATGTAATGAACTTTTTCGAGTGATTTTCTCCAATAAAAAAATTACCATATTTGCAGCGTCCTTTTTTAACTTTTTTTTACATCTGCAGATTTCACTTTATCTTGACCTAATAAATTCTGAAGTTTTTCTTAAGTTGAGAAACTAAATGAACATCTTTTATCTCTAGATAAATACCTTTATCAGTAATATCAAGCTCTAATAAGTTAAGAACAGAATAACATTTAAGGAAAATATCAGTTTTAACAACCAACTGAATAAGGTAATGCAGCATCTCAAGGTCCTTGCCAAGAAAAGACAACATGGGATCATCTGTTTGATATTTTTTTCGGATTTTGAGGCTGCAAAAGGTGTGATATAGTAGAAAAATAAAAGCTTTTATACTAAAAGACATTGGTAACTCCTTTTTTTTACAATCAAATAGCTCTTTGACGACGGCCTTTTAAAAGATAATAGATTCTGCTGGAAATTATTTATCTTTATTATATTTGGCTATATTTCTTTGATGACAATGTTTACAAATTAACTCAGACCAGCTTCGTCTCTTTCCAATTGCATTTCCCTGAGAACCTTCCAGTTCACATTAGAACCATGCATAGGTAGTTGTACTTGTTTAGATAAATCCAAACCAGATACACTATTTGAATAACTTTGTTCAAACTTTCAACATAACAAACAGCCAGCCTGATGGCAACAGTCTGATGCACAGACTTGTATTTTAAAAAAGTCCCTGTAGTTAGGTGCAATTGCATAACTAACATTAAATTTGTTTTTGCCAAGTTAAAATATTTGATACAAAAAAAGAATTAAAAAATTGAAATAAATGTTCAAAATAAGATATATTATTTTAAATAATTGTAAATATTTAGCATTAATATTTACAATTATTTAAAATAATAATTTAAAAAAGAATTTTTTTATAATTTTCAACAAACATTAGGTAGTAGATTATTAAAACTTATATAAAAAAAAGGAAATTTCAAAAACATTAAGCATTAAAATCATTTATATATAAAATGATTAAACTTAAACATAATCAAGATTTGACATTTCAAGATTTCATTGATAAATCCTAAAAAACATTTACAATTTAATACAATCCTAGGTAAAATAAAAAAAGAAATTCAGAACTAGAAATGTTTTATTATTCTCTGAGTCACTAAGAAAAAAAGCAACTGTTTTCTGAACACTAAGTAAATTCCCTGATTTTTACTAAACCAGTTAAAAAAGACACTTTTGATTTGACTTTCCCTGAAGGTATAAATCATGATTGTTATTTTATGTTTAGCATGGTTAAAACAGAACACAAATTTAGCTCAGCCAGTGTAACCACTAGTTAAAAACAAGGGCAAAAACAAGGATTTAAATTAAATTGAAAGAATAATTTTAACAAATTTAGCTCAGCTATGAAATTGTCATGAAATTTAATAACAAACAGCAAAAAATTTCATACAAAAAATATAAAAAACATTCTATACAGAATCTTTTTTAAATAAATAACATAACACCAAAATGATATTAGATATATAGCATATGCCTTATATCATTTTGGACATATTTTTCATTGGGAACACTCTCTTCTATAAAAATGTTTACTTCATGCAGTAAATTAAAAAGCTAGTATTGTAAAAACCATTAAAAAAAAAAATTATTTAACATTGCAAACCTTCAACATTTTTTCCATTTCTAAATTGAAAGTTACAACATAATGAACTCTGTGAAACATTTTACTTTATTATTCTTGCATTTGCATATGTGGCCATTATGTACTTATCTTCTGTCGCAGCAGCCGGATTTAAAGCTTCAGCAGTGTTTGGTTGTGCATCAATTTGCTGTGCATCTATTTTTAAACAAACAAACAAAGCTATATTTACTAGGTTATCAAGTATATTATCTAGTATACAACATACAAAATGGTTTTTTTGAATGAATTTTCATTATATTAATTTATAAATTTCATTCAAAAAACTAAAGTATACTTTTAAAACTTGATACATATTTGATTAAAATAAATAGTTGCATACACATTTCAGTAAATAAATTTATTTCAAGAGCAAGGTTCCAAATTTACATTCTAAACTTGATAAATGTTTATAATACTTTTTAATTTAGCTAGCCCCTGAACTAAAACATCTAAGTTATACCGAAAGATTGACAAAGTTGGGCCTCACAACTCTGGAAACAAGACGTATAAGAGGAGATCTCATTGCTTTCTTTAAATTAACAACTGGGATTGATAAAATATTATGGTATAAAGAGCCTAATAAAGCTTCTTCCCAGAGACTTCGAGGTCATTCAATGAAATTTGAAAGAGAACTTGCAAAAACAACACCGAGACATAATTTTTTTACGAACAGAGTGATACCTCATTGGAATGCTTTACCTGAAAAAGTGGTCTCTGCAATGACAGTAAATTCTTTTAAAGCTAGACTAGATAAACATTTGTTAACGGCTGTTTAAGTATAAATTTTAAACTTTATACTCCGCGACAATCGTCGTTACAGCAATTTGTATTACTAATTATATAAAAAAAAAAAAAAGATTGAAAAGAAATATCGGCATCATATATTTTACAAAAAAAAAGGTAAAGAAAACCTTCATACCTAATAAATGCTCAAAATTTAGAGAAGAATTATCTTCACTCATTTTAATCTAAAGAGTATTACAAAATTTTGTAGAGCGAAGCTCGTTTTAGTACAATTCGGAGGGTTCTGTTCCAGAATTCAAAATAAGATATTGGCTAGCGGCACTGATCTCTATAATAACTCTATAATAATCTCTGATATGATATTATATAAGGTTTTTGCATTTTTTATTTATCAAGCAAAATTTGTGTTTTAAGCGCATATAAGTTTAACGCAACTACGGATTTATAAATTCTGGGGCTTTCCAATATGGCGTCTTTTGGCTTCAAAAATTTCGAAATTTTATTAGGAGATGCGCTATCCAGTTATTATAGAGATCAGTGGCTAGCGGTCGTTCGTATAATTCAGAATAAGGTACACTTAAAGCGCATGCGTACCAACCGTCAAAAGTATTCTAGGTCTGTGATTTTTGTAAAATTCAAAATCTTATTTTGAATTATACGAAAGACCGTTAGCCGTTCACTTGGTATTGAGTTATGGTATTTATGGCACTATGGTAATATAGTACTTTGGTAATTAGTTTGGTAAAATGTTTAACTTACTAAATCATTATATTAATAGAGACATATAAAGGGCAAAAAATTTTTATATATATATATATATATATATATATATATATATATATATATATATATATATATATATATATATATATATATATATATATATATATATATATATATATATATATATACACAGGGGCGGACGCAGGTTTTTAATTTACCCCGTAAAAAAAATGCGCCTTACGCCATGTTGTAAGTGACGCAACTACGCCCACAAAGCAAATAGAAAAAATGGGGGGGGGGGAGAAGGAATAAGTAAGGGCGGATCCGGACTATGTAGTAAAAAAGGGTGGGCAATTTTTCTTTTCGTTCGCTCCAAACGATTAAAGGGGGCGATTTACAGGTTTAACAATTTTTAAGCAGGCAAGCCCCCAAAAAAAAGAATTTAAACTACACAATTTTATGCCACTTTTAAACAGCCTACCAAATTTACTTATGTTTTTACAAAATGTTCTTATAAAAAAACATCTAAGGGAGGCCATCGCTCCCATAGCCTGCCCCCTAAATCCTCCTGCCCTTGGGCTAGAGGATTTAAAGGGATTTAAAGGCATTGAGAAGCTCATATCTTAGTTTTACTTTGAAACTTTGTTCATATAATAAATATATAAACCAACAAATGATTGTTTCGCCCAATATCAGGGCTCATCAGCATGTCTAGGAACATATTTATTCTGGACATGGACAATCAGAGAAAGAAAAATTAAGAACTGAAAAGAGAAAGACAAAAATACAAATGGATTTATATACATTGCGATATAAAAAGTTATATATATTCTTATATAACAAGATTAAAAAAAAAAAGACATACCAAGTTAAGCTTTAACAACAAGAAAGAAGATCATTTTTGATGAAGTAAAAAGAAACCTAATGGTTAAATGGCACAAAAACTTATGAATATTATTAGGTTGATTGAGAGAAAATTTAATGAAAATAATTTTTTTAATTTTTTATTTTGTCGCTAGAAAATGATATAAAAAGATTGTCAAAAAGAGATAGTTAATGTTTGCCTGAACTATAATCACTAATCATATAGCTAATCCCAAACAAAAGTATGGGGTTACACTTAACCTGTCCTGTTAAGGACACCATTGAAGTCTTGGCCTTTCCAGGGGTTTCCATGCCTATTTGTTAGCTGTTATATGAAGAGAGGTGATAATAGACAAAAATTTCAAAAGTTGTTGGCGTGTTATAGAATAAACAGTATAGACACTAATCATTGAAATCAAGTCGTCTATTTTTTATAGAAAATCTATTGATAACATTATCAATACAAGGAACAATTTCTTGATGGATATACATTAATGCCAAACCGTTAAGTCGATCTTCTGACATTGTTGTTCTCATATAGTCTTTTAACCGACGCATAACAGAAAAACTCCTCTCACACTCACATGAAGTAACAGGAAGTGTCCCAAGTATCCTTAAAGCTATCTTAATATTTTCAAAACCAGGAAATGATATCGATTTAAGAGTTAGATATATTGTCAGGAATAGTCCCAGAGAAACTTTCCCAGTATTTTTCCCAAAGAACTAGTTCCTTATTCAAGGCACTGATATTAGGGAAATCATCTATAAAAAAATCACAGAATGTTTCAAACTGCTTCCTCCAACACAATTGGGTTTTGGGTCTTTTAAGAAAAGAAATAATATTAAATGGAATAATTGATAACCCTTTATATGCAGCTACAGTTTCTGATTTAAATCTTGTAGATATAGATGTAGATACATGATCTATAAGAGGGATAGTAACAGCTCTTTTGAAGTAATCTGAAACAGACTCTGATGGAACATTAGAACGATTTTTTTGAATAGAACAGGTTCTTGGTTTTAAAACAGAAATTTCAGCTTTACTTGAAAGCAAACATGCTGCTTCATAGCAGTTATTATGAAAACTATCTATATCGTTTCTGATGGAAATAAATGTATTTTTAAGAGCTGTAATAAGGTGCAAACCGTCTAAGATATCAATAGTTTTTGATTGCAGTAACCGAGTAACAGGTAAAGTAAAATCAAAGACACGTGTTGTCACAACTAAAGTAAAGACGAAATGAAAAGTGCCAATAGAATTTAAAAAAGTAGAAGATTTGTTTTGTGTGTCTTTGTTAACAGAACTCTCAGGGGAAGCCATGATACATAAAGCATGGAAAATAGATAAATAATGCTCAAGAAAAGTGTTTAAACCATCTATTCGCTCAATCCATCTAGTTCTACAGATATCTTTTAATTTTTTTTTATGCGTTTGAGGTTCTCGCTCTAAAATGCTACCTTCTAAAAACTTTTGTCTATTTTCTGAATAATTAAAAAAATAAGAAAGTTCGCGAACTTTATTAAAAACCTCTGAAACTAATTGGACATTACACGATTCACAAACTGATAAGTTCAGTCGATGGCTATGACAATGTGTATACAAAGCCTTTGAATTTAAATTGAGAACCTGAGCAGAAAGACCATTTATATACCCAGAGACAGAACTGGCTCCATCATATCCCTGACCCCTACAGTTTTTTATATCTAGATTTAAGTTG